GTGACTATCCCGATTACATAGTACGTTCCTACTACAAGAAAAAACTGCTTCCCATTCTAACTGACGTCAATACAAGTCTTGCACAAAACTTTTTTAAAGCGTGTAGGAAGTACGAAAACAATGAGGAGTACATAGACAAAATAGTAAGGAAATGAATTTATTATTAGCTGCCTGCTGCTCATAACTATATTCTATCAGGTTGAGTTGGTACCCAAAATAACTGAAGAAATATTCAAAATGGCAGAGGTCGACACAAACTTCTTGAATGTCCTAAACCATGGTGACTTTTGGAGTAACAATATGATGTTCTCTTACGACTGCTTTGGCAAAATCAAGGACCTTATGTTGGTGGATTTCCAAGTTCCGAAGTGGGGCAGTGTCGCACAGGATCTGATCTATTTCTTAATATCGTCAACCAAATTCGACGATAAGCTTACCAAATTTGACCGCAACATCAAGTTTTATTATGACAATCTAGTCGAGAATCTGAACATATTAAAGTACTCTAGAAGCATGCCTCTACTACGCGAGCTGCACATAACGATCTACAAGTACGGCTTCTGGGGTGAGTTGATAGTGATTATATCTAGTCTATTTCTGGTATCAAATAAATATAATTACTATTTTCCAGGTTACCTGACCGCCACTGGCGCAATGAGCACCGTTCTAGTGGACTCTACGGATACGGCCAGTTTTGAGAACTTTCTTAGCGACTCTACGGAGGGCGCCGATTTCAAGAACCTGCTTTATACTAATTCACGATATCTGAAACATATTCAGGCCGTGTTGCCCTGGTTGCTTAATCGTGGTGCACTTCAGGGATTCTAACCAGTGCTCTGTCTATGAAAAAAGGTGATTAGCCCCACTGTCAGGCTTTAAATTAAAGTATTGTACTTAAATATGAAATTTACAAGGTATTCTTTTCTGATGATTTAGTTTCCAATTTTGCCTTTTTCAAAGAACGTAAATTATAAAAACCAATGATCAAAATATACCTGTTGTACAGAAACATTTTCTTGGATGGGTTCAGCGTAAAAATTCTACTTTGGTATTTGAGAGCCAAACCTTAAACTACGATTGCCTCGCCAATGAGACGAATGAGAAGAGAGCGCAATAATTGTTTACGAAAGAGCGCACTACGTACACAAACTTTTTATAGAGAGATCTGAAAGCTTTCTATCTATAAAGCAAGCAAAAAAGCTTTTGCATTATTAGAAGTTCGTTGGCGAGCATCAGAAGCATAGCAGCAGAAGCCGAGATACAGACACCATTCTTTTTTTGTCGCTTGAACTAAATAAATAATAATAAAATGCCCGATGACGTTAAAACCAATACTGCGAACAGCACAGTTCCCGACTGGGTGCAACCGGATGCATTTGTGGATCTCCTAAAGAGCTCTGTCAAAGGATTTTCGAGAATAAAGAACTTCAAGGTCAGCAGCGGAGTTGGAGCTGGCGAGAATTATTCGACAGTCATGTTGCGCGTGAGCATTGATGTGGAGTTGGAGGGTAACTGAATTGATAAGCGATCATAAGTGGTCCATATAAGTATGCCTATGTATATTTCAGATGGCACCGAAAGGCCTGTATCCTACATGCTGAAAGTGCCGCATGAGGCGGAACTGTTTAAGATGTTGATGCGACAGCACAATATGTTTGATGTAGAGCGCAATATGTACAACATCTATGTGCCTGAAATGGAGCAACTGTATCGGGATGCTGGAGTGGACATTAAGTTCGGTGCTCAGGCCTATTCGGTGAAGGGTGCCACAACTGAGTATATACTGCTCGAGGATCTGTCGCCTAGAGGATTCAAGAACAGCAATCGCTTGGAGGGCCTGGATCAGGTACATACAGAGGCTGCTCTGCAAAGGCTAGCCATGTGGCATGCCGCATCCGCAGTGCGTGCGGCCATCAAAGGCGCCTATCCGGATCAGATTCTGATGGGCTTCTATAAGGAGGAGAACAAAATTATGATGTGCGAGATGAACAAGCAAATGACTGCGAATTTCCTCAATTGCTGTGTCACTTACGACGGCCATGAAGAATACTTGGAGCAAGTGGTAAATAATGTCTACGTCTGTACCGTTCAAAATTTTCTCACTATCTTGTTTTCGTTTTCTCATCTAGCGAGCTCTGCAGCCCAAGGCCACCGAAGAGATTTTTAAAAGGTCCAAGCCCGATCCCAACGAATTCAATGCACTAAATCATGGTGACTTTTGGAGCAATAATATTATGTACTCCCACGATTCCTTTGGCAAAATCAAGGAGACATATCTAATAGATTTTCAACTACCCAAATTCGGCACGGTCGCACAGGACTTGTATTACTTCCTCCTGTCCTCGACTAAATTCGAGGACAAGCTGACTAAGTTCGATTACTATGTGAAGTTCTATCATGAAAATCTGTTGGAAAATCTGAAACTACTCAAGTATCCGAAAGCCCTGCCCACCCTATGTGATTTACACATATCGCTCTTCAAACATGGACTTTGGGGTTTGTATTATTATATTGAATTACTAAGCTCTTCCCAACTAAATTAACTGTAATCTATTTGTAGGATTCTATACAGCAATATCTGTTATGAGTGGCATTTTGCTTGATCCCACTGAATCAGCCAGGGCTGAACACTTTGCCAGTGATTCAGTTGAGGCCCAAGACTTCAAGAACTTGCTCTATTCCAATGCACGCTATCGCAAGCATATCCAGGTAGTAATGCCCTGGCTATTTAATCGTGGTGCTCTAGAGCTGTAATTGGTAACGTAAGACAGGTGTCAGTTCAACTGAACTGTGTTGCACCTTATCAGCATTTGATTAATTCAAGTATTATTAACTTGATAGTGGTCTCCCACGATGATAAAGTCCCATGTTGTGTAATATATAATATATATATAGAAAACTAATAAATTGGTGTACTTTTTATGTAATTTTAACTAACCTATGATCTATACAAAACATATATTTTTGAGATGAAAATATGCAAATAACGAATTCAGCAAATTGAAAGAGAATCAGATACAGATAAAATTGAAAAATAAAAACATTCATTGATGTATGTACAGTTACGTTTTCCAATAAGATGAAATTACACTTGTATAGTCATTTATTAATTATCCTCAAATTAATAATTGATTAGTATAGAAATTCTAAAAGCTGGTATTATTTGGAAGTATATTTCATATTCCTGTATTAATACAAAAGAATATTATTTATCAACTCGAATTGAGGTTTCCTTAATTTCCGGAGCATTGCTCGGTAGAAAATAATTTCATTTAGACTTGTGTTTATATATTATGATTTGTGAAATAATATAAATTGTGATCAAAAAGAAAATATATATAGTATATACATATGTATAAATAATATTTAGAAGCTTTTCAGCAATATTCCGCTCTCTGAATTATGTTTACTTAATTTACTGCATTGCTTTTGCTATGCATTTTGCGACTATGTCAGCAAAAACGCACAAAAAGCTTTACATTTAGATTGTATTTTTTAAGAAACATCAATGTCTAGGTTAAGAGACAGAAAGACAGAGAGGGACAGAATGTTTGACAGAAAAGCTTTCGAGCATGACAACAAATCACAACAGATATTTGCTGACTCTTAGTTGTACACATTGTGGAAGCTCTGGAAAGCTCTTGCAAGACCTACAAATGCAGTAGGGTCGTCACAGTTATTATTATTATTGCAAATAGTAAGACTTGAATCAATCCATTATCAAATTTGGCAGATATATTTAACTACACAGCCATATAGTTATGGTCAAAGATTAGATTGTAAGAGCACAGTTAGAAGCGATTCGACTCGTAGCAATGCAATTTTATGGTGCAATTCATTTGAAGGTATAACTGTCCATGACAGCAGAAACGAGTATTCAGGTCCCTACCTGGCTGAAGCAAGAACTATTCAAAATTGTAGAGCTTAAGTTTAGCTTAAACCATGCCGATCCAGGGGTTAAATACGTTGAGTCGGGGCTCTCAAAATACGAGAGCCAACCATAACGAGCAGCTGGTTGGGCACCTAAATTTACTCAAATATAAAGAAACATTTCGACTCTGCACTCTATACACGCTCATCTCAAACACGATGTGATATTCATTGTTCTCAGAACGTTCTCTTTCGTCTTGTGCTCTTTAGGTTAATGTGTTTGTGTAATCGTCTGTATACCCATAAGGCTCGACCGCACCGAAGATCCAAGTTTAAAGGATTTCGTTACTGACAGTAGATGGGGATGGTCTAATTCTAATTCTAATATGCTGAAAACTGTATCATTAAGGTATGATGTTTGTTATATAATAAAGATAAAAGAAAATTTAAATATTCCAGTAATCTGCAAAGGAGATTCTGGTTAGCTCTCTAATAGGGTTAGACTTGACAGAATTAAAATTAATATAATTAGTTAATATAATTAGTTTAGATACATAAAGCTTTCAGAATGCTTCTGTAGATAAAGCTTTCATGGTAAATTTGTATACATATTGATTCACAATTTACTACTTATAGATTCACAAATTATACAATGAAAATAAATCGAAAGGGGTTTACCATACAGAAAATCTTGCTTTTCCTTTTTTGGCATGACTTGATCGACTCACCATTCAAGGTACTACCTAAACAGAATTGCAAGCGTCAGAAAAAGGCTTTATAACCTACTCAACATTCAAGATAGAGATACCTTACATATGTTTTTATTTATATATATGTATGTATGTATACTATATACCCCTATAAGTACGTAGATTGTTGTCTATCACATGTCCAAGTGAATCACAGTGCACGACACGAGCAGAAGCAATTAATAAAGAATCACCCAATAATTAGAGCACGAAGCAAAAGAGCAACGATAGTGGAAATGCCGAGACCCGCTTTACCTGCCTTATCAATAGAACAATTGGCGACACCCCATATCAAATGTTTATTAAAAAATCATATTCAACGAAAGTGTGTGCCTTGACGCTCTTTACGCCGGGTTTGGCGAATAACAATTTACAAAATCAACACTAATTGGACACCGATGCGATAACGAATTTCTCGGCCGATTCCAAATCGGGCCAAGCAGAGTCTTACGCCTAACGCCCGGACCTCATTTGAAATCAACGGTTGACCGAACTGCATTCGATTGTGTGAACAATTCATCATTCGCCGTTAATTAAGGAAAAAGGTTTGTTGTGCCTATCTCTCCATCGACTGTACGGGGCTGCTTTTGAATTCATATTGTGTGTGAGAGCATCTGAACCAGTTCTTCGTTGTGCCAGACACAGTGGAGAAGTCGAATAGAAATTTGTACTAAAGAAAAACTCAATTTGAATTGTTTTAAATGAAAGCGCAAATCTCTAAGATCTAGTACAACAGAGTGTCTTTAAAGACTTTTTATTACAAAGCTGATCGGGTAAAAGTGTTCCAAGAAACGAATTTTAGATAGAAAATATAATTGATCTGTGATAAGAGTTGCCTACGACCAAATTTGGCATCGGACTTGATAATCATCCAAGCAATGCAGAAATACATATAACTATCAAAATTAATGTGTGAAATACAAAGCACAAAATATGTATGTAATATATCAGATAAAATTGTAGCATTTTCAATATATACACATATATGTATCACATATATGTATGTATATGTTGCATCACGAGTTTTCCTTTAAATTTCTTTTAATCGGCCAATTTTGCTAATATTATCGCTTGGCATTAAAGATAAGACCTTTGAGAAATTGTAAAGGCCCAATAATGCAACAGTAGAAATTACTGTTATTAATTTATTACACTTACCGTTTGGAAGGGACTCCCAATGATTGCAATGCTTGAGAGCCCTTTAGTTCAACCGAATTCTGCAGAAAAACGTTATCAACATCAAAGCAAAGAATACACTGTAAAAAATATATATTAATGATTGTATGGAGTGGGCAAATATAAAGTCATAAGACCTATATTTGCATACGTAATTACGTAAGATCATTATCATCATCATGATGATATAATAATTTGCTATCATAAAATATTTAAAAGAACTGGGTGGGTTAGCGCAAAAGATATTTTCTGAATTGCATATGGGCGCGTCTGCATGCCTCCAATTATGATCTATAGCTTTATTAAAGAACAGGTTCTTTGGATCTGCCGATGAAACAGAACCGTTCTACAATAAGTCACAATCGGTCTATATTGATACAGTATACTTTCGAGCTCTGATTTGGCTAGATTATCGGCACCATATCACATTTGTAATGCTTATCTCAAAATCCAGTCAGTCACTAATATACGGCACGCGATTCTATTGATTTCGCTAAACTTGACATTGATTAAACATTTATAGCACCCAAGATGTCGGAGGCCACTCAAGCAAATGGACATGCCGAGTCGTCGGATCCCAATTTGCCACCTTGGCTGCCCAGAATCTCGCTGCAGAATGCTGTGCGCGCTCAGATCGGGGACTTTGAGAAGATACGATCGGTAACGCCGCAGCCGGCCAATACCGGGGACAACTACTCCACCCTGATGGTGCGCCTGCTGGTGGAAGTCGAGCTGCTGGGTAAGCTGAGGGCGACTCCTAACCTAGTGTAACAAAAAGTTGTAATCGTTGATTAACCAGCACAGATCACAGCAGCAAGAGTGTGTCCTTTGTGCTAAAGGCTCAGCCCAACAACGATGTAATGGCCGCCATACTCAGCAAGCTGCGGCTCTTCCAGAAGGAAGAGCAAATGTATCACAACTTTCTGCCGCAATTCGAAAAGCTCTACGCCGACGCAGGCAAGAAGATTAGATTTGCCCCAAAGGCCTATAAGCTTGATCAGGACTTCGGCGTGGATTATGTGCTGATGGAGGACTTGAATCCGAACTCCTTTAAGAATGCCAATCGTTTGGCAGGCCTGGATCAGGAGCACATGGAGCAGGTGCTGGCCAAATTGGCTGCTTTCCATGCCGCTTCCGCCTGCTATGTGGAGCACAATGGTTTGTTCGGGGAGGACTTCACGGTGGGCGTCTTTAGCGAAGCCAATCGCCAGTTGCTGCAGGAGTTCAATGCATCAGGCGCCTTCCTAGCGCAGCTCAAGAAATGGAAAAATTGCCAGAAAATCTATGAGAAATTGGTAAGTTGTGTTGATCAATAAATATTCAAAATCTCCCTCTCTCTCACACACACTCTCTCTCTCTCTCTCTCTCTCTCTCTCTCTCTCTGATTCTTAGGCCAATAGCGATGATTATTTGGTAGATCGCCTGCTGCAGGATCAGCAGCTGTCCACGCGGGAGTTCAATGTGCTCAATCATGGCGATTGCTGGAACTACAATATTATGTTTCTGTACGATGCCTTTGGCTCGATAAAGGAAACGCTCTTTGTTGACTTTCAAGTCTGCAAATACGGCTCCCCGGCAAATGATCTGTATTATCTGATACTATCCTCGGCAGCGCCCAACATTAAGACCAAACAATTTGACTACCTTGTGCGCTACTATTTCGACCAACTGGTGGACAATTTGAAGCTCTTGCAGTATCATCGCCCTTTGCCGAAGCTGAAGAATTTACATGCCGCCCTCTTTCGCAATGGATTGGCGGGTGAGTATACCTAGTAAAATATTGCTCTGAACTCTATATAATGATCTCTTCTGCAATTGCCAGCCTATTTGGTCGTCTCTAAGGTGCTGCCCGTGGTAATGCTGGACAAGAACGAGCACCCCAATTTGGAGGATGACGACGCCAAGGTGAAGGTCGCCATGTACACCAATCCGAAATATGTTCAGGTAATGACCGAAGTTCTGCCGTGGTTGGATAATCGCGGTCTGCTCGACTGGAAGTAATTACCATCAAAATGCGTGTTATTATAATATACAACTAAATTTTTGATCACGCCATGCTGCAAAATGGCTTATTATTATACAAAATAAAAACATGTCGAGAAAGAGACACATTGCCAAAAGTCAATTAACTAAACAATAATTTCGAGTTTTTGTACATTCATGGCAGAAAACACGTTTTCGGATAATTATCTTGTTTGTATTTAAATTATTTGTATTCATAATTGCATAATGATCGTAGACCCAAAATTTTGGCATTACGAGTCTATTTAAGGATTGTAACTGAAACAAAACATGATGTTTATTATACTCTTAGGAAAAATCAACTTGTTTTCAGCGCAGCCCTCTCTTTGGTATGTATAATTATAGATTTGCTGAAGAGTTGTTTCCGTTCATTACATCTACAGACTTGCTCTATATATATGTCTGTATATAAATATAATATAGCTAGTTTCAATTTTCACTTCCCACCAAATATAAGCATATGTTTAATATCTACATGTATTATATAAAAGATATCAATGTATATATATAAATATACAAGTACATGCACCTAATATCAGTTCATTTCATATGCAAGCACACATTTTGTTTTGTTTTTAATAATCAACAAATTATTTGCTTTTCTCGTCCGTAATTATGAATTTAGACACGTAAGTATTATATTACACTATGGGAATTGAAATTAAATGTGGCTTTGAGACCGTTTCGCATAGGTATACGACTATTAGCTACTCTATAGTTGCAGATATATGCATATACATATATGCCAATATCTTCCATCCGGCTTGAATTAAATGTAAATGAAATTGAGTACCACGCTAATAACCTGATCAATAACAAATGGAATCAGTATTTTGTTATACTCGTTCAAATACTTGAGATTTTAAATAGTCTATGTATATATGTATGTATATGTATGTTTATATGTACAATACTTTTGCCTGATAAAATGCTTCATGTCAGCTGGGTGTATAGGGAATTGGGAATTCCTTCTTTTCTATTTCATCTATAAAGAGGAAAGTATATACAACTTGATTAAAATACCAAATTGAGATACTATGAACTATAAATACTAAATAGGCCAAGAATATACTTACAAAGTACAGACTAACTGAAATTCTGTTGACCTTGTCTATGGTTGGATTTAAAAAATTTAAATAAATATATTAACCTAACATATTATTAAATAAAATATTAAATTGAAAATTGCCTTGTTTATCAAGGTTTCAAAAGAAATTTACATAAAATATAAATAAAAATGCACAAATAAATAGATTTATAGTATTTGCACTGAATTGGCTAGCAGTAACAATTACATGATAATAATTATGACCTCCAATATAGTGGATAATTACACCCAGTTCTTTCTTATCAGAACAGAAAAAAAAAAACAGTCAAGCTGCAAGCATACAATTAACGTATTCAGAAATAGTATACCCAGATGTCTAAAGTGCTGGAACACTTTGGAACTGTACAGTCACAACGCGATTTTATTTTGCGATGTTAAACGGGCTCGACTTCGATATACCCATTTGTAATTATGGATATACTGATAAAGCAATACAAAGTTATTTTCTTATGCTGATGAAAAATGTATATATTATATTTCATATCTACACAAGACTCATTACCATTAAAATTAATAACCATTAATATTAATTTCGAATTTGTATATATATTTATATTATTATTATTATTATTTAAAAAATTAATTGAATCACCTCAAAACAGAAAAACCTACGCATACCCATTTGTCTCTTGATACATTAATATATTCTAATTTTAGTGACCCTAATTCGCAGCAACCACAGAGAGCTTCACACGCGACAAATTGATAATGCAGAGTGAATGGAATTGATTATGAGATCCACGGTATGCCCCGCCACGACTCTGAGCTTAAGTCCCTCCACACATCACTTACTTTGCTGAAATTTAAAACAATTATAGCGATTCTACATATATATATAGTACTATCAGTATAGCAGAGTTAATTTAGTGCTATCCGCTTTCTGCTAGGAATACAGCGACGCACTATTCTGTTTCTAGGTACAAACAAATATTCGTAGAAACATTTTCACATGCAACCGGTTTGCTCTATGAACAGACTCTGAACAGGCTAATCCAGACCCCGGTACTCAGGCGGTACGAGTAGTCCGGCTAGCTGACTACGATGTTCGGCGACGAGCAATCAGTATTTGTTTTGCGTTCGAATACGCCGGACCCTCGTTGCTGTTTGCTCTTCGTTGGCTTATAATTCCGTCTACAAAGCTTAAGTGCCGTATGTTACTGGCAATTAATACATACATATAGATCGTGAGAAATATAATTAACTTGTGCATTGGAAGATCGATCAATGTTCAAGAACATTGCTAATTGAACACATTTCACATTGGAACAAGTTAAAGAAATGTGATCTTTGATCATTTATTTCTGCGAATAATATGTAATGTGGTGTAACTGAAAATACTACTCTCCACTCTATCAATCTCTTAGAAAATGTCACCCAATACCGATCCAGATGAGCCCTTTAATCCCAATGAGTTCCTCGTCATCCCCAAATGGATCAATGAGGATTATTTTCGACCCATCGTCGAGCAAGATGTGCCAGACTTTGTCAGCATCCAAAACTTTACGTCGATTGCCGCAACACAGCCAGGTGAAAACTATACATCGATTATGGTGCGTGTCTTTATAGACATCAAGCTCAAAGGTTGGTCAGCTAACTTTCTAAATTGTCAGCCAAAGCAATTAAGATCTCTTTCACAGATGGCACTGAGCAGAGAGTGTCGTACATATTGAAGACAATGCTGGAAGCCACCAAGGGAGGTGCTCTTGTCAATGAGATGAACTTGTTTCCCAAGGAGACTGAGATGTACCAGGTGCACATACCTGGCTACGAAAAGCTCTACAAGGAAGCTGGTGTTGACATTAAGTTGGCGCCCAAGTGCTTGCTCGTCGAAGTGACTCCGGAGCGTACAACCCTTGTCCTGGAGGACCTAAAATGCCAGAACTTCTACAACGTAGACCGCCTAAAGGGCTTGGATATGCCTCATATGAAGCGGGTGTTGCGTAAATTGGCAGAGCTGCACGCAGCCTCGGCAGTTACACGGGAGCAGAACGGACCCTTCTCCGAGATGTACTACACATCATTCTATCATGAAAAGAATCGTGCTATTTTCGAGCAAATAGGCGAAATGCGCATGAAGCAATATGTAAAGGCCATGAGGGAATGGCAGCTACCGGATGTAGAGAAATACATTGAGAATATGCCTGCTCCAAGCGTAATGTTTGAGGAGGCACTAAAACTGAATAAGGTGGACGAGACCGAGTTCAATTGCCTCAATCACGGAGACCTGTGGTGCAATAACATAATGTTCGCCGAGAACGGAGCCGAGGAGCGCACCCTCTTCGTGGACTTGCAAGTGGGCAAGTGGGGCTCCCCGGCACAGGATCTCTGGTACTTTATAACAACGTCGGCAGCACTTGACATCAAGGTCAAGGAATTTGATCATTTCATTAGCATCTATCACGAACGTTTGGTGGAATGCCTGCAATTGCTGAAGTACTCAAAGCATATTCCCACGTTGACAGAATTACACATCATGATGCTAAAATACGGCAAATGGGGTAAGTTGGCCGAGCAAGCGAGACCAATCGCCGAGAACGAGACCAATCTAGCTATTAACCATCATTTATTTATTAACAGGCCCAGTCACAGCGAATGGCGTTTTGGTTGCCATCATCCTGCCCTCCGATAAGGATTCAAGCATTGACATGATGATGATGCCGGGACCAGAAGGCGACGCTTTCCGCTACAAGACCTTCATAAATCCCTATTATGTCAAGGCTATGCTGCAGCTGTATCCTTTCTTCGCCCATAAGGGATTGCTCTAAAATCATTATATAATGATGTGTGTTTTTTGGTACTACTTTACATATACTGATACTGGTGATACTTTTAGTATATTATCTAATACCGAAATAAAGCCTTTTCCTGTCGATAATTGTTATAGTCATTCTATAATAAATTTTATCATGATGTGCGTGTTTTTATGAAATCACTTCTAATCATGACTGGCAAAAAAAATCAATGACTAATTTAAATTTAACTGATGTATTACCGAATCGATGCTCAAATACCCTTTCGTGCGTTAATGCAAAAGTTTGTCTAGATTTCTAAGGCTATATTTAACGGCTATGTTTCTAAGGCTATATTTAACGGAAACAAAACTTCAATAAATCAATATATTGAGATTCATTCATGAAATTTAAGTACTATCAATTGTATTCGAATTTTAGTTGATGGGGAAGAAAAACTTAAGAGGAATGCTACAAATTATATGATTTTTTTTTATTTTTCAATTGTAAACAAAAGCTTCAGGCATATATTTATATATTTTATTTACTATTTTGGCTTACAATGAAAATCAACTCATTCATGCTCAACCGATTATTGGTTTCAATTGAGCTTGATTACCTCGCGAGCCTTTATAGAGTATTTTCTAGGGCTGTCCAATATTTTTAAAATATCGTATCGATGATATTTTAAGTTAAGTTTAAAGAAATATATAAATTTTATTTTTATGATAAAGACTCAAAATTATCATATTGCTTTTTTTTCATAAGCGACGTCATATCTGATGTGTTGAGCTATTAGTTTAAGGCACAAATTACATTTGGATGTTCCATTGTTAAACTGAGAATAATTCGTTTTCACCATATTCACTTGTTGTACTTTTTGCTTGGTGGACTTATCACTCAAATATATCAAAAATAAAAAAAAAATAAAAATTTTAAAGATAAAAATAAAACGATATTTAGGCAAAAAATATTCCGATATAAATATATTTTGTATACAAAAAAGATTGATATATTCGACAACCCTAGTATTTTCGCAAGTGCTGATCGATTATTTAACTTATGACGTCAGTTGTTGAATTTATATCTCGACACGCGTCGCTTTGTACAAATGAGTTGAATAATTTATTCTAAAAAAATTCCTGAAAGCCATTCTCAGCTTCGAACTGCTAACAGACAGATACGTACTTTAAGCAAACCCTATTACGCCGCATTTTCATGGTGTGGCTTTAACATAAAAGATAAACATAAACATAGTACTCAGCTTTGTCCGAAAATCGA